GGGGCCATTTGGGAGTGAACCAGCAGATGAAAGATCTCTCTCCCTGTGTCTCTTCCCTCCTCTCTGTAACTCTTTCAAATAAAATAACTTTTTTAAAAAATTTGTTAAAAAAGACCTCTAAGAATATATGTAGACTAAAAGTGAAAAAAAATGGAAGAAGGTATTCTATGTAAGTGGAACCCAAAAGAAAGCAGTAGTTATACATCTATCAGGTAAAATAGCCCAGGAAAGTCATTATATAATGATAAAGGGCTCAATCCAGTAAGAGGAAATATTATTTGTAACTATAAACACATCCAAGATTGGAGTTTCCAAATAAGACTCCAAAACAATAAAAGTAGGGGACTTTAACATCCCACTTTGGGCCGGCGCTGCGGCTCAATAGGCTAATCCTCCACCTGCGGCAACGGCACCCCGGGTTATAGTTCCGGTGGGGCGCCGGATTCTGTCCTGGTTGCCCCTCTTCCAGGCCAGCTCTCTGCTGTGGCCCAGGAGTGCAGTGGAGGATGGCCCAGGTCCTTGGGCCCTGCACCCACATGGGAGACCAGGAGAAGTACCTGGCTCCTGGCTTCAGATTAGCGCGGTGCGCCTGCCACAGCGGCCATTGTGGGGTGAACCAATGGAAAAGGAAGACCTTTCTCTCTCTCTCTCTCTCACTGTCCACTCTGCCTGTCAAAAAAAAAAAAATCCCACTTTCAGAAATAGACAAATTGGAGACCGGCACTGTGGCACAGAGGGTTAAAGCCCCAACCTGCAACCCTGGTATCCCATATGGGTGCCAGTTTGAGTCCCGCCTGCTCCACTTCCAATCCAACTCTCTGATATGGCTGGGAAAGCAACATAAGATGGTCCAAGTCCTTGGGGCCCTGCACCCACGTGGAAGACCTGGAAGAAGTTCCTGGCTCCTGGCTTCAGATCAGTGCACCTCTGACCATTGTGGCCACCTGGGGAGTGAAGACCTCTCTCTCTTTCTCTCTCTCTCTAACTCAGTCTTTTTTTGTTTTGTTTTGTTTTTTGACAGGCAGAGTAGACAGTGAGAGAGAGAGACAGAGAGAAAGGTCTTCCTTTTTGCCGTTGGTTCACCCACCAAAGGCCGCTGAGGCCGACACCCTGTGGCCGGCGCACCGCGCTGATCCGAAGGCAGGAGCCAGGTACTTCTCCTGGTCTCCCATGGGGTGCAGGGCCCAAGCACTTGGGCCATCCTCCACTGCACTCCCGGGCCACAGCAGAGAGCTGGCCTGGAAGAGGAGCAACTGGGACAGAATCTGGCGCCCCAATCGGGACTAGAACCCAGTGTGCCGGCGCCGCAGGTGGAGTGTCGCTCCCCCTCTTCATGGAGGAACGACACTAAACCCTGCCTAGGCTTCATATCCGAGTCACGGCACCATTATGTCGCTCCCCCTCTTCATGGAGGAACGACACTAAACCCTGCCTAGGCTTCATATCCGAGTCACGGCACCATTATGTTGCTCCCCCTCTTCGTGGAGGAGCAACACTGAACCCTGCCTAGGCTTCATATCCGAGTCACGGCACCATTATGTCGCTCCCCCTCTTCGTGGAGGAGCGACACAGGACCCTGCGCTGTTCTTTCGTCTGCTCGGCCCTCCCTGGGTTTGCTGCTGGTTCTTCCCGGGTTGGCTACTATCCCTTCCACCTCCGTGGAAGGGCAGTTCCCCCTGGCCACATTCCCCACTTCCGCAGGGGAGCGGCACACCGCCGGCCGGCTCTCTTCGGGGGCTGCACAGGTGTTCCTTCAGCTAGATGTTCCCCATAGATGTTCCCGGTGCATGCCGTCTCTCTCCTCCTTTATAGTCCTCCTCCGCCAATCCTAACTCGGCTGCCCACACGCCGAGTACGCTGCTCTCCAATCAGGAGCAAGTCCTACAGTTTATTGGTTGAACTGGAGGCAGCTGGGTAGAAGCTGTTTTCTCCTCTCCCAGCGCCATATTGTAGGAGAGCAGATGCATAGAATAAGTCTTAATTCCAGTAACAGTCTAGTCCGAGCTGCTCCCCACAGAGGAGAGCAGATGCATAGAATAAGTCTTAATTCCAGTAACTTAGTCTAGTCCGAGCTGCTCCCCACAGTGGAGGATTAGCCTATTGAGCTGCGGCGCCAGCCTTATAACTCAGTGTTTCAAATAAATACAATAAATATTAAAAAGAAAGAAAGAAATGGACAAATCACCTACATAGAAAATCAACAAACAATAGAGTTAAACTGCACCCTAGATCAGCTAGACCCAAAAGACATCTACAGAACTTTCCATCCAACAGCTATAGAGCACACATTCTTATCACAGCACATGGAACATTTCCCAGGGCACATCACCTGGTAGGTCACAAACCAAGGCTCAACAAATTTAAAAGAGAAATCTTGTCAAGTACTTTCTCTGACCAAATGCAATATGAAACTAGAAATCAGCAACAAGAAAACCTTTGGAAACTAAGCAAATACATGGAAATTGAACAACTTACTCCTGAACAATTAATGAATGGGTCAAGGTAGAAATCAAGGAAGAAATTAAAATATTTCTTGAAACAAATGAAAATACAAAAACAACATTCCAAACCCTACAGGATACAGCAAAAGAAGTACAAAGAGCAAAATTTATAGTAAACAATGCCAGCATGGAAACAATAGCAACAATAAACCCAATTTATCACATGAATGCAAATGCGGGCACGCTGTTAAGTGAAAGAAGCCAAGCACAGGAAGACAAACATCACAGTCTTACTCACGTGCATAGTCTAAAAATCAGGTGATATCACAGAAGCTAAAAATGTAACGGTAGTGATTAGAGGCTAGAGAGGGAACTGCGGAGGGAGGACTGGGGAAAAGGTTGATTGATGGGTAACATATTATAGCTAGACAGAAGTTCTGGGGTTCTACTGAACAGTAGGGTGACTATACATAATGCTAATGTTCTGCATTTAAGAAAACCTAGAGGCCGGCACTGCGGCTCACTAGGCTAATCCTCCGCCTTGCAGCGCTGGCACACCAGGTTCTAGTCCTGGTCGGGGCGCCGGATCCTGTCCCGGTTGCCCCTCTTCCAGGCCAGCTCTCTGCTGTGGCCAGGGAGTGCAGTGGAGGATGGCCCAAGTGCTTGGGCCCTGCACCCCATGGGAGACCAGGAGAAGTACCTGGCTCCTGCCTTCGGATCAGCGCGGTGCACCGGCCGCAGCACGCTGGCTGCGGCGGCCATTGGAGGGTGAACCAACGGCAAAGGAAGACCTTTCTCTGTCTCTCTCTCACTGTCCACTCTGCCTGTCAAAAAAAAAAAAAAAAAAAAAAAAAAAGGAAACCTAGAAAAGAAAACAGGATTCCTAGAAGACAGGATTTTGGATGCTTTCACTATATAGAAACGTTAAATGCTTGAAAGCATTAATATATCTATGCTAATTTGATATTATACAATGTATAGATCTAATGAAACATCACAACAGTACTCCATAAATATACATATTTATGTCTTAAGTAATGACATGCAATTACTTCCTGTTGTATTTTCCCATTTCACATAAATATTCCCTATTACATTTCTGTCTTCTGTAGAGTTTTATCAGGAATGAACACATTTTATAAAATGATGTTATAATTATGTTGGTATATTTTAAACATTTTTCTTAAATGATCAGTGATGAAGTTTTTTTCTGATATTAAAGTAGCTTTGAATTCCTTCTCATAAGTGACTTTTCAAATAATTACTTTCCTCTCTAGAATATTATAATTTTAAAAACTATAACCATAAGTAAGCAAAATAACTAAGGAAGCACAGTTATAGTTTTCTTGTGTTTTCATCAATTTCACACCATCAGGAGTGACCAAATAGAAATAGATTACTCTCGGCCAGCGCCGCGGCTCACTAGGCTAATCCTCCACCTAGCGGCGCCGGCACACCGGGTTCTAGTCCCGGTCGGGGCGCCGGATTCTGTCCCGGTTGCCCCTCTTCCAGGCCAGCCCTCTGCTGTGGCCAGGGAGTGCAGTGGAGGATGGCCCAAGTGCTTGGGCCCTGCACCCCATGGGAGACCAGGATAAGTACCTGGCTCCCGCCATCGGATCAACGCGGTGCGCCGGCTGCGGCAGCCATTGGAGGGTGAACCAACGGCAAAGGAAGACCTTTCTCTCTCTCTCTCTCACTGTCCACTCTGTCAAAAAAAAAAAAAAAAAAGATTACTCTCACTGCCCACAAAAACACCTGAGTTACATAATTTAACAGAGAAAACAGAAAGATGGTGTATTTATCACTTGACCATAATGGCATGACTCGCTTTAACAAAATTTCTCATATTTAGTAATTGAGAAAGATAACTAGTTACAGATGCCTACTTAAATATGTTAATTATGGCCGATTTTGAAGCATTACCTTTAATTTGTTATTTTGTTATTTACTCATATAACACTGTTTCATCTCATATTAGGTTTACAGGGATACAATGATCAACAAGAAACATTTTTCTCAGATAAACTTACAAGCTAGTGATTTGACAAACATTTTCTGAAAAGGGCCAATAATAATAATAATACGGGCTTTGGGGACCATATAGCCTATTGCCAACCACTCAACTCTTCTGTTGAAGGGCAAAAAGATTATAGAGTAAATGGGCATAGCTGTGGAAGAAACTTTATTTACAAAACAGATGGTGGGCCAGATTTGTTCCATGGGCTATAGTTTGCTAACTGTTCTCTAGTGAAAAATAATAAACAAGCAATTTCAATTTTCTGTGGCAAATGAACAGTAACTGTAAGTAAAAGGTATTACAAGAACATATCTAAGAGAATCAACAAAGGCTTCTGGGAGAAGGCAACAATTCATCAAATACTTCATTTTCTCAAATTCAACAAAGTATTTTTTTTAATGTAATGCACTAACATTATAAAAGAACTCAAAATATCATTCTGAAAATGTAAAATATTATTGGACTATAAAATAATTCTGTATATAGTATTCTCTCCTAGCCCTTTACCAAAAATTATAATGTAAGCACACTTGAAAGCTTACCTTGAGTGACTGTTTTGAGAACAATTAATGTAGACAAAAATCTCAGTGGCAAATTGGAGCTCTTGAAGAAAGCAGCTGCCTTTGGCTTGTTCTCCACAGACTGCTCCAAAGAATTTTCCTGAATTCCTTTAATTACTACCCCTTTAAATATGTCTTCACCCAGTCTCCTCAATGTTGATGTCATAGTTGCATGCTGTCAAAAATATGCACACACTTAGTAATTCACCCGTGCTCAGGAAACATCTTCTTAAAACACTGCGTATGAACTAAAGTGAATTTTGCCAAAAAATAGGAGTGAAATATGCAAAGTTGGAAAGTGACAATTTTATACCTAATTTTAAGATTTATTTAAGTATCACTACGTATTTTTCTGTAACATGTCAGAACATAAGATCATGCTGTGTTTCTGGCCCACACAAGCATCAACAGACCAGAGGGGGACTATCTACTCTCTCAGTTCCTCATTGCTCCACTCTGACAACAGGCTTATCAGGTGCATCTCACTATGTGTGCTTAAGAAAGAGTCAATCATCTAGAATCCAATCTGAATTGCAAACAAACTGGGAAGAATCAGCAAAAACAATAAACACCACTTCAAAGAACTGAGGGACTATAACAGAAAACCTAATAATCATAGCCTTACAGTCCCAGAAGGAGAGAAAGAACCAAGTAGTAATGAGAAAATACATGAAGAAATAATGACTAAAACTCGCCCAGATTTGGCAAAAAACAAACATATCCAGAGAGTGAAAAAGATGAGCAAATCCCAAACAGATAAATCTAGAGATCCATACCAAAATTCATCATGGGCAAACATTAAAATCTAAAGAGTGCATGTTTGTGTATGTATGTGTGTAGCAACAAGACAGAAATGACACTGCACACAGATGTGAAAAATAATTCAAATAACAGTGACTTTTTAAAAAGATTTTATTTATTTGAAAGGCAGAGTTACAGAGAAAGAGGGACAGACAGAGGGAGCTCTCATCTGCTGGTTCACTCCCCAAATGGCCTCAATGGCCGGAGCTGGGCTTGGCTGAATCCAGGACCCCAGAACTCCATCTGGGGTCTCCCTCATGGGTGTGGGGCCCAAGTACTTGGGTCACCCTCCGCTGCTTTCCCAGGCACATTTTTAAGGAGCTGGACTGGAAGCACTGAGACTAGAATTGGCACCCATATGGGATCTCAGCATCACGGTGGGGTGGCAGAACCCACGTCATCATGCCACCAGCCCCCAAATAAAAGCCAGTTCTTATCAAACACCACACAAGCTAGAAGGAACTGGCAAATGTTTCAAGTAAAGAACAGTTATCCCAGAATTGAATTCCCAATGACAATATCCTTTAGGGATGAAAGGGAAATCAGAAGAAGAAAAACTAAGAAATTTGGCCATCAGCAGATCTATTCTAAAATAAAGCAGCTCTCTAAATAGATAGGAAATGATAAAAGGAATTGTGAACATCAGAAAAGAATGAAGGTAAAAATTTAAAATATGGGTAAATATAATAATTGTTTCTGTTCTTGAGCTTCATAAATTATGTTTAGACAACACTGTCTAAAGTGTTTCTAAATGTAGATAGATGAAATATTTATGGGAGAGGTTTAGGGAGGAAAAGAGGTAAGTTTCCTATACTTCATTAAAACTACTAAAATGACAACATTAATACACTGTAATAAATTATTCATACATCAAAACTATTAACAAAGATACATATACATACACACACACATATATATATATGAGCTGCTAAGAAATACAGTCAAAACATTTTAGGTATATGGAATGGGAATCCTATGAAACATCCAAGAAATTCACTGAAAGCAGGAAACAAAAGAAATGAAAAACAAAGACAAAAACAACAAAGTGACAGTTAAAGTACCAACATGTTGATAAATTTAGGCCATTTATGTGTATGTCTCTGTCTCTGCCTCTCTGCCTTTTATATAAAGAAATAAATCTTAAACAATATATATATGGGAACATTTCCCTATTCATTTTATAAACTAGAACTACAAATACAAAATCAAAGACCGCTGTATAAAACAGACACAAAAATCCATAACAAAATATTAGGAAACAGAATTCAGCAACATATAAAAAGATAAACACCACAGCAAAATGGGTTTTTTTTCAGGGATGGATGGCTGATTCAAAATTTGAAAGTCAATGTAATCTACTGTATTAACAAATTAAAGATGAAAAAAAAATCACACTATTTTATAAAATACTGCAGAAAACTGACCTGAAAAATTTCACGATTAAAAAGAATTTTCAAAAAAGAAAAAGAGGGAAAATAACTCAATGTGATAAAAAATAATCTGTAAAATACCCCAGCTAATACAAAGATACTTTAAAAAAAGCTAATGAGAAAATGGAAGGAAGGGACAATGTGCATCTCCTATGAGCTTTCTGAAGACTTCTTTGTTATATTAATGACAGACTGAAAGCTTCCCCTAAAATGAGGCACAAGGCAAGGATGTCTGCTCTCACCACTCTCAGTCAACGTAGTGCTAAAAATCCCAGCAGTAATGTAAGAGAACATTAAAGGCACATATATTTAAGAGAAACACAAATACTACTCCCATTTAAAAGAACATGGTTTTCTATGTAGGAAATCCCAAGAAGAGGAGGGCACTGTGGCACAGAGGATACAGCTGTTGCATGGGACCCTCGCACCCCACACTGTTGTTGCTAGTTCCAGTCTCAACTACTCTGCTTCACGCCCAACTTTCTGCTAATGTATTCTGAGGGAGCTGATGGTGGATCAAGTACGTGGGCCCCTGCCACCCATGTAAAGACCCTGATGGAGTTCTAAGCCCTGCACTGGTCCTGTCCCTGGCTGTTGTGGGCATTTGGGAAGTGAAACTGTAGGTGGAAGGTCTTTCTGTCTTTTTTCTCTCTTTTTATACAGGTTTAATACAGTTCCTCCTGCTCTTGCTCTGCCTTTCAAGTAGGTGAAAAACAAACACTAAAAAAAATTAAAGAAACTTCCAAAAACTCTTTTATAAGTTCAAGGTCACAGGATACAAAATAAAGAAAAATAAATTATATTGCTATCAATGAACTTATGGGCACAAAAATTAAAATAACTATATCAATTAAAATGGTATAAAAAAGTTAAATACTCAGCTGGAAATTTTAAAAACACATGTCAGAAATTTTATGCTAAAAATTATACATTACTGATGAAAGAAATCAATGTTCTAAATAAATAGAGGCTCATCTTCATTCAAAAACTGGAAGATGACACAATAGAGATGTCAAATATTCCAAGATTTACATTCAGGTTTAATGTAATCAAATTTCAGGCGGATATCTTACAGATTATTCTGAAATAGGAAGAGAACATTTGTTAAAAAAAAAATGCAACATGATAAAGACAAATATTCTTAAAGATATATTCTTAATAATCGGTTACCTGTGCTCCAGCATCTAGCTGCCTTAGGGACCAATATATAAATTTTACAAAAGGCTCGTGAAGTTTGACATTCACAAATGGCATCCACTGTAGCTGTTCTGTCATGACAGGCAAAAGCTAAAGAAAAAATGGTGGAACACATAAAGCACCATATTTTTAGTTGTCTGAAATCAACTGCCACAATTTTCTAAAACTTATCTTAAAAAAAAAAATCTCCAATGAAAAAACCTTCTCTCTCAAACCATGTGCATTACAATTTGACAAGATACATTTGAAATTTTATCTTTTCCAAAAAAATTTATTTATTTATTTGAGAGGCAGAGTTACAGAGAGAAAGGTCTTCCATCAGCTAGTTCACTCCCCAAATGGCCACAACAGCCAGAGCTGGGCCAATCGGGGAGCCAGGAGTCAGGAGCTTCTTCTGGGTCTCCCACATGGGTAGCAAGGGCCCAAGCACTTGGGCCATCTTCCACCATGGCCACATTTTCCCAGGCCATTAGCAGGGAGCTGAATCAGAAGTGGAGCAGCCAGGACTTGAACCAGTGCCCACATGGGATGCGGGTACCACAGGTAGAGGTTTAATCTATTATGCCACAGTGCTGGCCACTTAAGTTTTAAATGTGTTTCCTTTTACTTAGCAGTGGCAGTATCTACGGATCTATAAGGAGATTAAGCTGAAAAAGATACTCTCCCTGAACCTCAAATGGTTAAATAAATGTATAAATTTATATTTATTACCATGGCATATCCTGGAGTGAAAACAAAACAAAACAAAACCAAACAAAACCAAAAACATGTTACGGGGCCGGCACTGTGGTGTAGCGGATAAAGCCGCTGCCTGCACCGCTGGCATCCCATATGGGCACCAGTTCGAATCCCAACTGCTCCACTTCTGATCCAATTCTCTGCTATGGCCTGGGAAAGCAGTAGAAAATGGCCCAAGTCCTTGAGCCTCTGCACCCACGTGGGAGACCCAAAAGAATCTCCTGGCTCCTGGCTTCAGATCGGTGAAGCTCTGGCTGTTGCAGCCAACTGGGGAGTGCACCAGTGGATGAAAGACCTCTCTCTTTCTACCTTTCCTTCTCTCTCTGTGTAATTCAAGTAAATAAATAAACCTTTAAAAAATGCTACAAAAGAGCAACTGTAGCAAATATCCCACTTATATAACATATGTCTGTATAAAGACTGGTGTGTGGCATAACAGTGTAAGCCTCCGCCTGCAACACTGCCCTCCCATATGAGCACCACTTCAAGTCCTGGCTGCTTCACTTGTGACCCAGCTCCCTGCTGACACGCCTGGGAGAGTAGAAGATGGCCTAAGTACCTGCGGCCCTGCTACCCACATGGGAGACCTGGATGAAGCTGCTGGCTCAGACCTGAGCCAGCCCTGGTTGTTGCAGGGATTTGGGGAGTGAACCAGAAGATGGAAGATCTCTCTATCTCTTCCTCTCTCTGTAACTCTGCCTTTGAAATAAATAAATCTTTAAAAAATGTATGTCTGTGAATTTATACTGAACAGATATGTGAAAGAGTGAGTTTAAAAAATACTTGTTTCTTGGGGCCAGCATTGTGGTGCAGTGGAGTTAAGCCATTCCCTACAACACTGGCATCCCCTATCAGAATGCTGGTTTGAGTCCCGGCTACCTCACACCCAATCCAGCTCCCAGCTAATATATCTAGGAAAGCAGAAAAAGATGGTCTACATACTGAGGACACTATATGCATGTGGCTAAACTCAGAGTTTCTGGCTCTTGGCCTGGGCCAGGTTGGGGAGTGAGCCAGCTGATGGTAGATCTCTCTCTCCCTGCCTCTCTGTCACTCTCCCTTTTAAATAATCTTAAAAAGAAAAAGAAAACAGTAAAATAAAAAGATAACTCTAGATTTATGTTTGGATTAAGAATATAAATATTATAAGAAAAGATATGGTATTTAAAGTGGTACTATAGGGCTGGTGCCGTGGCTCACTAGGCTAATCCTCCGCCTGCGGCGGTTCTAGTCCTGGTTGGGGCACCGGGTTCTGTCCTGGTTGCTCTTCTTCCACTCCAGCTCTCTGCTGTGGCCTGGGAGGGCAGTGGAGGATGGCCCAAGTGCTTGGGCCTTGCACCCGCATGGGAGACCAGGAGGAAGCACCTGGCTCCGGATCGGTGCAGCGTGCCAGCTGTAGCAGCCATTTGGGGGGTGAACCAACAGAAGGAAGATCTTTCTGTCTCTCTAACTCTGCCTGTCAAAAAAAATAAAGTGGTACTATAAAAATTACTTTTTTCATGAAAACATAAAACAAAATGGAAGAGTGCAATATTTACTATGAAGAAATTGGAGGCCAAATATCTAAAGTACTTACGTTATCTAAATACTCAATTTTAGCATGCATCAGAATGAACTGGTGGGCTAATTACAAGTCAGGTTCCCAAGTCCTAGCCCTGGAATGTCTGATTTGGCAGGTCTGGATAGGGACACAGACTTGTATTTCTGAGAGTCTCCTGTGAGGCTGCTTCTGCAGGCCCAGTGACCACATTTTGAGAATCACTGGTCTGGGTAAATTTCATCCTGGGCTCAGCATTATGGTGTAGCAAGTTAAACCTCTTCCTATGAGCTCAGCATCCAATAAGGGCATCAGTTTGAGTTCCGGCTACTCCACTTCCAATCCAGCTCCCTGCTAATGGCCTGGGAAAAGCAGCAGAAGATGGTCCAAGTGCTTGGGTCCTTGTAGCCACATAGGAGACCTGGAAGAAGCTCCAGGCTCCTGGCGTTGGCCTGGCCCAGCCCCCCAGCTGTAGCAGCCATTTGGGGAGTAAACCAGTTGAAGGAAGATCTCTGTCTCTCCTCCTGTCTCTGTAACTCTGCCTTTCAAATAAATAAAAAAACAAATTTAAAAAAATTTTTTTTCATTCTAAATCAGAAGTAAAAGGAAAAATCTTAACAGCTAAGTTTGAAGGATACGTAGGTATTTGTCAGACACTTAGCAGTTATGAGGAGGATACACGAGCTGTCTTACCATGAGGTATGTCTGAGGTAAGTGTGAGTGAGGTATGCTATGAAAAGCTGCAGTGAGGCAGGAGTGGCGTCACCTTGTGTTCTATGAAAATGCTAGAGTCTGCATGCTGGGGCCGGGCGCTGTGGCGTAGTGGGTAAAGCCGCCGCCTGCAATGCCAGCATCCCATATGGGCGCAGGTTCGAGACCCAGCTCTGGCTGTTACAGCCAACTTGGGAGTGAACCGGTGGATGGAAGACCCCTCTCTCTCTTACTCTGCCTCCCTCCTTCTCTCTGTGTAACTCTTTCAAATAAATAAATAAATCTTTAAAAAAAAAAAAAAAAGAAAAGAAAAAGAAAGAGTCCAAATGCTGTCCTACAGGTAAGAGAGAATAGGAAATGGTTCCAAAAAAAAAAAAAAACAAAAAACAAAAACAAAACCAAGAAACAATTCTGTATTTTACTATGGCAAAATCTTAAACACATACACTATCAAATGAAAGAAGCCAATTTGAAAAGACTACATACTGCATGATTCCACATATATGACATTCTGAAAAAGATAAAAAAAAAATATATATGGAGTGAAAGTGAAAACATCAGTATTTGCCAGGGTTTCTGCAGGAGGGACAGAGAGAGGACTAAGAGGTGGCACACAGGAGACGATTAGGATACTGAAATCTTCCATCCCATAAACTTGAGATTTCACTCCATTTATCTGTGTCTATTTGAATTTTTCTCAACATTGTTTTGTAATTTTTAGGATATAAGTCTTAAGCCGGCGCCGCGGCTCACTAGGCTAATCCTCCGCCTAGCGGCGCCGGCACACCGGGTTCTAGTCCCGGTTGCCCCTCTTCCAGGCCAGCCCTCTGCTGTGGCCAGGGAGTGCAGTGGAGGATGGCCCAGGTGCTTGGGCCCTGCACCCCATGGGAGACCAGGAAAAGCACCTGGCTCCTGGCTCCTGCCATCGGATCAGTGCGGTGCGCCGGCCGCAGCGCGCCAGCCGCGGCGGCCATTGGAGGGTGAACCAACGGCAAAAGGAAGACCTTTCTCTCTGTCTCTCTCTCTCACTGTCCACTCTGCCTGTCAAAAATAAAAAAAAATAAATAAATAAATAAAAAAAAAAGGATATAAGTCTTACCTACGTGTTGGGTTTATTCCTATATATTTATTATTTTTAGTGATAACTATGTCAGTACTAGTTTTTTTTTTTTTTTTTTGGACAGGCAGAGTGCACAGCGAGAGAGACAGAGAGAAAGGTCTTCCTTTGCCGTTGGTTCACCCTCCAATGGCTGCCGCAGCCGGTGCACCGCGTTGATCCGATGGCGGGAGCCAGGTACTTATCCTGGTCTCCCATGGGGTGCAGTGCCCAAGCACTTGGGCCATCCTCCACTGCACTCCCTGGCCACAGCAGAGAGCTGGCCTGGAAGAGGGGCAACTGGGACAGAATCCGGCGCCCCGACCAGGACTAGAACCCGGTGTGCCGGCGCCGCAAGGCGGAGGATTAGCCTAGTGAGCCGCGGTGCCGGCCAGTGATAACTATGAATAGAACCATTTTTCTAATTTCCTTTTTGGGCTTTTCATTGTTAGTGTTGATTCTGTAGGCACAATCTTGCTGTTCTTGTTTGGAAAGAACAGACCATCAAAGAAGGGGGTACCTTTCTTTGAAGGGAGGAGAGAACTTCCACTTTGACTATGACCTTGTCTAAATGATAACACCCCCCTACTTTGGGATTGATATCACAAGTTTTATCTTATATGTTGTATTACCTCCTAAAAAAGATATATAGTTTATACTTTTGTCTTAAATTCTGTTCAACAACTTGGGTACCAAAATTACAAATCAGGCTACTTACTACATTTGTCCATGTCCAGAGAAATTTATATTTTTCTATGGCTTCATGTTGATGTTTGTGCCTTGTGTTTCTTATAGAGTAGGACTAGTGGTTAATGAATTCCCTCGGCTTGTTGATCTGAGAAAGTCTTGATTTCAGCCTCACTTTTGAAGGCAGTTTAGTGCACGTCTCAGTTTTTTACTTTCAACACTTGGAAAATACCACACCACTGCCAGGTGGCCTGTGATGGTTCTGCTAAGAAACCGGCTGATATTCCTATAGAAGTTTCTTTATAAGTAACAATCTGCTTTTCTCTTGCTGCTTTCAAAAGCTTAGGTCATCGACTTTTGAAAATCTGATTCTAATACTTCCGTTGTGGGTATCTTTGGTTTTATCAGCTTCTAAAATCTGCATGTCCCTTTCTCCCAGAAAAAGGAAAGTTCGGCAAGTTTTCAGCCATTACTATGCATCCTTTAGGGTTATTTATCCATCTGAAAAGCAGACTGACAGAGGAGGGGAGGGGAGGAGAATGGAGAGGAAGGAAGAAAGACATTCCATATCATCTGGTTAATTCTCCCCTCTCTTTCTCTCTGTAACTCTGACTTTCAAATAAATAAATAAATCTTTATCAAAAAAAAAAAAAAGTTACAGAGAGAGAAAGGGAGAAACAGAGAGGAGAGAGATCTTCCATCTGCGGGTTCACTCCCCAGTGACCCAGGTCGAAGCCAGGAGCCAGGAGCTTTTGGGCCATCTTCCACTGCATTCCCAGGCACATTAGCAGGGAGCAGCCAGGACTCCAACTGGTATCATATGGGATGCCAGTACTGCAGATGGAGGTTTAACCTGCAGTGCTACAGCACCAGCCCCAAGTTGTGTGTTTTTTTGTTTTTAGCTCATGGAGCAATTAAAGACAGTTTTCAAGCTATCTGTTAGCAAGTTCAGAGATCTGCATTTCTTCTGGGTCAGTTTCTGGAGCTTTGATTTGTTCACTCGAATGGACCAGTGTTCCTGACTCTTTGTATGCCTTGTGATTTTGTCCTCATTTAGGCATCTGAAAAACAACCACCTTCCTAGTGTTTATGACTGCTTCCATGCAGGGAAAACCACCATCAATCAGCCAGCTACCGCTTTTGGCACCTCTCTTAACCTTTTCTGGAGGATGTGTCTTCTCTGGTCTTATATTATGTGTGCAGTTTACTGTCTTAATTTCCCGAGCAGCTTGTCACTGAATCTTCTGAGAAGCCCATAATCCTCTGCCCTTTTCCTGGAGAAGTGTTCCAGTGTGCTGCGCACTCATCTCCGTATTCTACAGCTTCCAGACTATGTCTCCTTTTCCCTTAGGCACACTGTCAGGCAAGACATAAACCAGCTCTGAGGTGAGCCCCATACCAGACAAAACACTGATCTCACGGTTTATTCTTTTGTTTCCATCTCAAAGGAGGAGGGTATGAGAGATGTCCTCTTGGTTACCCTGTGTTACACTGGGAAGTGTGTACACCTGCAAAATTCCACAAATTTCCGTAGCCCCTTCACTGTCATGCACTGGCCTGGGGCTGCAGTTTCCCAACCAGTCTCTAGGGCTCCCGCCTATATGTCCTGCTTCGTATGTTGTCTTATATGCTTCAAATTCCATTTTTAAAAACTTGTCAGTAATGAGCCGGAATGTCTTGGGACTGTTCTTCCTCATCAAATTCTAACAAACAGAAAAGCAGTTCTGCAGAACTCCAACACTGCAGGCCCTTCTCATCAGCAGCTACCTCTAGAGCAATGCTGGATTTCAACAGTGCAACAGGTGATGGAGGTGTTAAAAGAGACAAAATTTTAAACAAAGGTGTTTGTAACCTTTCACTGCCAGAACAAAGTACCACAGACTTAATATTTAAGCAACACAAATGTATTATTTTACAGTTCTCCATGCCTGAAGTGCGATGTGGGTATTGGCCAGCCAAAACCAAAGTGTCCACAGGGTGTTAAACTGCTGTCTGCAGAGTTGGCATCCCATATGGGTGCCAGTTTAAGACCCAGCTGCTCCATTTCTGATCCAGCTCCCTGCTAATGTGCGCCTAGGAAAGCAGTAGAAGATGGCCTAAGTATTCGGGTCCCTACACCCACATGGGAAACCCGGACAAAGCTCCTGGCTTCAATCTGGCCCAACCTTAGTCGCTGTGGACATTTGGTGGGTAAACCAGTGGATGGACGATCTCTCTCTTTGCCTCTGCCTCTCCCTGTCTGTGACTCTGCCTTTCAAATAAATACATCTTTAAAGAACAAAAAACAAACCTATGTTCCGTTCTGGAAGCAAAAGGAGGATCCATTTCCTTGCTTATTGAGAACTCAGTTCCTCAAAGTTGTAGAACTGAGATTCCCATTTGCTTGCTGTCAATAAGGGTGTCCCAGTTTCTAAAAGAGACCCATGTTCCATGGCACATGGCCCACTTTAGATCTTCAAAGCCAGCAACAATGAGGTGAGCATCTGGTCCATTCTTCTGAGCTTTCCTGTTTTAAACTGCTCATGTGATTACTGGACACACTCAGATTATTCTGCATAATCTTATTTTATAAAGGTGAGCTGATTTAACTCCCTTCAATTATTTTTGAAGTATGCGTTTAATGTCTGATTTTTTTTTTTTTTTGACAGGCAGGGTGCACAGTGAGAGAGAGAGACAGAGAAAGGTCTTCCTTTGCCGTTAGTTCACCCTCCAATAGCCGCTGCAGCTGGCGCACCACGCTTATCCGAAGCCAGGAGCCAGGTGCTTCTCCTGGTCTCCCATGCGGGTGCAGGGCCCAAGGACTTGGGCCATCCTCCACTGCCCTCCCGGGCCACAGCAGAGAGCTGGACTGGAAGAGGAGCAACAGGGACAGAATCCAGCGCCCTGACTGGGACTAGAACCCCGGGTGCTGGCACCGCAGGAGGAAGATTAGCCTAGTGAGCCGTGGCACCGGCCTAATGTCTGGTCTCTACATTTAAAGGAAACATTCCTATCATATTAAAAAAATTAAGTATGAATTAATTTTATTAAATTTGAAATGAACTTCTGCAGAGCTCACTTATGATATGACAAATTTTCAATCAAAAATACTTTCAATATTCTCTCTACTTACAAACGATATCACAGATTTTTCTTTTTTAATCTTTATGTCTGAGTGAAATATTTCAATCAAAACAAAACAAAACAAACCTTTACACATTTCTCCTGAATACCATTTCTCTGAGAAGTGAATTTGGGAAGTGGCTTTTCACCATCTGTTACAGATTCTTCATGTTTCAGTTTGCTAAGGTGATGATCTGAAATCCAGTCCATGAAGACAGTTAAAAGTTCATAAACTTGTCCATTAAGTGGTGCCTATATGTCAAAAGTTAAACATTTATTTCAGTTCACAACCTCATAAAAGTTAAATGGCAAGCCTCAAAATCTGGAAGCGACTTTAGACTAATTTATCTAAAACAACTAATATATACGTTTAAGGGTAGATTTTCCATACAACCAAAAGATACTAGAAATAAAAACATTTGCCACTTAACACTAAAAATGCTAAAAGCTGGCAGAGAGAGAGAAACCTCCTTAAAAGGAAATTGAGGGGTCAGCGCTGTGGCAGAGAGGGCGAGGCTGCCACCTGCGGTGCCGGCATGCCAAATGGGTGCCAGTTTGAGTTCCAGCTGCTTCGGGTCCCAGCTGCTCCACTTCTGATCCAGCTCTCTGCTATGGCCTGAGAAAGTGGTGGAAGATGGCCCAAGTGCTTGGGCCCCAGCACCCATGTGGGAGACCCAGAGGAGACTCCTGACTCCTGATTGGCCCAGCTCCAGCCATTGCGGTCATTTGGGGCAGATGGAAGACCCTCCCCAACCCCCCGCCTCTGACTTTCAAATTAAAAAAAGGAAATTGAAAGAACTGTGTCTTATTATCAAAATAATTCTTGGGGGGCAGCAGCACTATGGCACAGTGGGTTAAGCTGATACCTACAACGCCAGCATCCCATATGAGCACCAGTTCAAGTCCCAGCTGCTCCACTTTTGATCCAGCTCCCCACTAATGCACCTGGGAAAGCAGTGCTTGGGCCCCTGCTACCCACATGGGAGACCCAGATGGAGTTCCAGGCTTCTGGTTTAGACCAGGCCTAGCCCTGGCTGTTGTGCCTTTTTCAGTAGACCAGCAGACTGAAGACTGATCTCTCTCCATCCTCACTCCATCTCTGAGTGTAACTCCTCCCCTCTAAAATAAAAAAATATCAAAGAGTAAAGAATTTTCATAAAAGTTCTTTATCCCAAGCTTGATAAAACAGAAAAGTAAAATTGGTTTTAACTCAACAGCATTAACCTCCATAATGAAAAAAGTCTAACAAGTTCTGGCTACTCCACATCTGATCCAGCTCCCTGCCGGTGGCCTGGGAAAGCAGTGGAAGGCAGCCCAAGCACTTATGTCCCTGCACCCATGTGGGAAACCTGGAAGAAGCTCCTGGGCCCACCTCCAACCATTGTAGCCATCTGGGGAGTGAACCAGCAGATGAACACCTCTCTCTCTGTTTGTCCCTCTGTAACTCTGCCTCTCAAATAAATAAATCTTTACAAAAAAAAAACCCAACAACAACAAACCCACAAAGCTGGAGACATCATAATACTAGATTTTAAGACATACACATGGAGCTACCAGCATAGACCTATAGACCAATGGAACAGAACAGAAACTCCAGAAATTGACCCACACTTTACAACCAACTACTCTGACAAACAAGCGAAAGTCATTTCCTGGAGAAAGGGTAGTCTTTTCAACAAATGGTATTGGGAAAACTGAATTTCCACATGTAGAAGTCTAAAACAGATTCCCTACATTAATCCTATACAAAAATCAACTCAAAATGGATCAAGGATCTAAACTTCAGACCTAAAACTGTCAAAAACATGAAACACCAGACACTGGCCTAAGCAAAGATTTCTTGGGTAGGATCCCAGAAGCAGTATAAGCAAAAACAGACAAATGGTATTACATCAAGCTAATTAGCTTCTACACAGCAAAGGAAACAATTAACAAAGTGAAGAGACAACCAACAGAATAGGAGAAAATACTTGCAAACTATTCATCTGATAAAGGATTAATATCTGGGATATATAAGGAGCTTAAACTCAAAAACAAAACAAACAATCCAATTGAGAAATGGGCAAAGGATACAAATAGACACTTTTTTGGTAACTTTTTAAAAAAATTTATTTATTTGAGAAGCAGAGTTGGGGGAGGGGAGACAGAGAGAGAGAGATCTTCCAACCACAGGCTTACTCCCCAAACAGCTGCAACTGCTGAAGCTAGCTGATCGGAAGCAAAGAGCCAGAAACTTATTCTGGGTTTCCCATGTGGGTGCAGGGGCCCAAGCACTTGGACCATTTTCCGCTGTTTTCCCAGGTGCATTAGTAGGGAGTTGGATTGGAAGTAGAGCAGCCAGGACTCAAACCAGTGCCCATAGGGAATACTGGGGCCACGGGCAGAGGCTTTACTCACTACACTACACCATGGCAATGACTCCAAATAGACATTTTCAAAAAAATACAAATGGTCAATAGACATGAAAAAACTCTCAGGATCACTAGCCATCAGAAAAATACAAACAAAAACCACAAAGAGGTATCACCTCACTTCAATTATTATGTCCTATACAAAACTCAGAAAATAACAAATGCTGGCAAGGTTGCAGAAAATAGGGTAACCTAATACACTGTTGGTGGGAATGCAAACTAGTGTAACCATTGTGAAAAACAGTATGGAGAATCCTCAGAAAACTAAAAATATGTCTACCATAGAACCTGGTTTGGAATCCTGGGAATATAAGCACAGCAAATGAAATCAACATATGAAAGAGGTACTTGCACTCCCATGTTTACAATGCCTCAATTGACAACAGCAAAAATATAGAACCAACCTAAATATCCATCCACTGATTATCAGGTAAGTGTATATATGCAAGATAGAATACTAGTCAGCCTTTAAAAAGAATGAAATTCTGACATGTGCAACAAAATAGAACTGGAAATCAGTATGCTAAGTGAAACAAGCCAGACCCAGAAAGACAAATACCACGTTTTCTCTTATTTGTGGAAGTTAGTATGTAGAGTATAAATCTGTGTGGATTTCACATCATTTGGAACAGTCACAATACTGCCTCACTGAAGCATACCACTTATGTGACAATACACCCTTCTTTCCACATTATGCTCACCGGCACGAATCCTCACTTTGTGATATATTCGTTTTCAAGAAAAAAACACTGCACATGTGCATGGAGATTTACTGTCTACACATGAAATCAATGTGGCAACATGTGGAAAACTTACATTTTAAAGTAAAAGTAAAGCAAACACTCTTTCTTGCAGCTACCTCAGTAAATTGCAACACCTCAAAACAAATTAAACATCGAAAAAATTTGCAGAGAAATATTTTAATAAATAAAAAGAAAACATTAAATGGCAATCCATAACAACGGTATAAAATGGCTGAGAACACAATGATAAACAGTTACCACATCCTTCTAAAGAGTAATTTCTAACCCCTCTCAACTTCATTCAAATAGAAATAAACTGCTTTTAGATGAGAACTTCAATCATCTTGAATACTTCAATATAAAATCTTCTTTTCCAATTTAATTTATACAAAGAACTAGAAAATTACCTGAAAGGATTAAAGCCTGCTATGACACTAAGACTACTAGACACCTACTGGAAGGATCAAAATGAAAAACAATGAAAATACCAAATGCTGGCAAGGCTGGGGAAAACCAGAACTTTCATACATCATTAACAGAAGTATGAAGTGGTATGACCACTTTGGAAAGTTGTCAGTTTCTTACAAATACACATCTCCCTATGGCTCAGAAATTTCAGTCCTGGTACTCACCATGAGGAATAAAAACAATGTCCACAAAAATCTTGTACCTGAATACTCACAGCCCATGATTCAAAGCAAGAAAAACAGAAACAGCACAGGTACCCATCAACAGAATAAACTGGGATAAACTCACGCAGTGGAGTACTGCTGAGCAAAGAAACAGCCTACTGATAGCGTGATATAATGCTGAGGAAAAGAACCCCACATGACCAGCACATAGTAAGCGATTCCATTCCTAAAAGAGGAAAAATAATTCATGGCGACAGAAATTAGATCGACAAGTGGTTCTGGCAGAGAAACACGACCAGGAAAAGGCACAGAAGAACTTTTTAGGGTAACAGATATGCTCTATAATTGGTTGCGGTTTACAGGAATGCTAAATATTTATCAAGCATTTTATTTGTCGGTCTACATATTAGGTTACTATATGTAATTAAATCAAGTTAAAAATCCTTAGGGGGAAAAATAGATCATTCATCTATTGCAGTCTTGAAAGAAAAATAACATCAAACATTTGTGGAGTCTCAACACACACTGAGTAATAAAAATGTTATTAATGTTAGGCTACTGTTGTCAGTGTTACTGTACCTGAGCCACTGCTAAAAATTGTTTTGTAATGCAAATAAAAATATATTGGAGGCTGGTGTCGTGGCTCACTTGGCTAATCCTCCGCCTGCAGTGCTGGCATTCCGGGTTCTAGTCCTGGTCGGGGCGCCGGTTCTGTCCCGGTTGCTCCTCTTCCAGTCCAGCTCTCTGCTGCGGCCCAGGAAGGCAGCAGAGGATGGCCCAAGTGCTTGGGCCCTGCACCCACATGGGAGACCAGGAGGAAGCACCCGGCTCCTGGCTTTGGATCGGCATTGCTCCCGGCCGTAGCAGCCATTAGGGGAGTGAACCAACGGAAGAAAGACCTGTCTATAACTCTACCTGTCAAATAATATATATATATATAGGAAATATTTTGCACTATTTTTCTATAAAATAATTATTACAACGAATTCTTTTATATCGAAAAGAATGTTTGCTAAATGAAAGAAAAATTATTAAGGAAGCAGAAAAAATTTCCTGCCTTTTCACTGGAGAAATTTCCAGTCATATCGTACCTTGTAAGTTTTTGAAGCTGGTACTTTCTCTTGCTTTAAACTTTTCATTTCGTGCGCAGCATGGGGATTGCCTTTCAATCTTTGCACTGTCATAAACTCGTACTTCCTCTGCAACGGTACGTATCCACGAAATAAAGAACAATTAAATTAAAAGTGAGTAAAGGCAATCATTTAAAAATGACGGTGTGTCTCAAGAGAAGAAAAGGGAACTTACCTGTAAATTATCTAAACGAGCTTGAACTCTCTTAGCCTGAATCTCCATCTTCCTGTTTTCTTCACTTACTTCATTTAACTAAAGGAAGGAAGTTAGGTATTTCAATATAAACCTTAAACTAGTTTCAAAGTAGGGTTTCTCAATCTATTGTATTATGTCTACAAAACCAGGTAATATAACAAAACAGAAGTGGAGTTCATGATTTCCTCAGATTCAAGCTAAAAACATCACCATTTTCACCTCAAACATTACCTGTGTCCAAGAAAGTTCACTATATGAAAAATGTGCAAGAATCCTGACATCCTCAAAGCACGTTTTTGGTGAGAAATGTTTTTCAAGTAAGATTTTTACTTAGCGTTTTTACATAAGAAAAGCACACAAATCACAGATGGGCAGTGCAATGAGCTGTTACTGGCATTACACTGAATTCATGGGGCATCCTGTGAAGAACATCTACACAACACTGAGTTTTTCTACTCTTGAAGGCAACACACCCTTCATTTCACTAAGCCTCTGTTTCTGGATTCTCTTGGTAGTATGCTGGAGTTTTCAGCACAGACATCTGGCACATCTCTCTTTAGATCTTCTCCTGGATAATTATTTTCTCCCTTCCAATGCTTGTACTTCTCCCCTGCCCCTTATTGCACTGATTGGACTTTCATTACATTGTTCAGTAGAAGTAATGACAGCAAATACTTTTCCTTTGTTCTGATCTGACAGAAAAGTTTTCGATAATTCACGTGATTTTGTAGTTGGAGCATCCATTTTTTGTTATCACCGGATCAGGTTTGTTAACATTAAATTTTACTTCTAAACTTGTGGCAGAGACTGATTTGTATTTTTCCTTTCTTGTAATGTCAAGTTTTGTTTTCAAAGTTATTCTGGTCTCATTCAAATAACGGTTTCCCCTCTTCTGTTTAACTTGCTCCTCCTTAGAGGCTAGATAGCAGTCTGTTTCTTCCGAAGGTAAGGTGTGGTCTTATTTTTTCTGATCACTTTTAGGATTCTCTCTAACATTTTCAGCAGTCTTAAAAGACTGTGCTTATATATGGTTTTCCACAAATTACCCTGCCTGGTAGCACAGCTTCTTGAATCTGCACATTGACATCATTCACCAGTTCTTGGAAAATTCCTGGCTATTGTATCTTCATTTCTCTCTCTCTCTCTTTTTTATAACACACACATGCACACAGAATGAGAGAGGGAGAGGGAAAAATAGAGTGAGAGAGATTTTCTATCCACTGCTTCACTCCCCAAATGGTCGCAAAAGCCAGGGCTGGGCCAAGCCAAAGCCAGGAGCGAGCAGCTTCTTCCAGATCTCTCACATAGATATAGGGGCCCAAGGACTTGGGCCATCTTCTACTGCTTTACCAGGCTCATTAGCAGGGAGCTAGATCAGAAGTGCAGCAGCTGGGACTTGAACTGGCACCCATATGAGATACCAGCATTGTAGGCGGCAGTTTAACCTGTTATACACAAAGCCAGCCCCTCTTCATATGTCTTTATCCATTCTCTCTTTCCTCTCTTTCTGGAGCTCATCTGTGTCAAACTTCTTGACTATGTCCCACATGTCTCTTTTGAATTTTCTATTCTTTTGTCACTCAGTGCTTCAATTTGTAGAATTTTTTAATGAAATTATCTTCTGGTTCACTAATCCTATCTTCCACTGTGTCTCATCTGTTGTTAAACCCATTTTTGGAGTTCTTAATCAACCAATGTATTTATTTTTTTTATTTTTTTTTTATTTTTGACAGGCAGAGTGGACAGTGAGAGAGAGAGACAGAGAGAGAAAGGTCTTCCTTTGCCGTTGGTTCACCCTCCAATGGCCGCCGCTGCAGCCGGCGCACCGAGCTGATCCGATGGCAGGAGCCAGGATCCAGGTGCTTTTCCTGGTCTCCCATGGGGTGCAGGGCCCAAGCACCTGGGCCATCCTCCACTGCACCCCCTGGCCATAGCAGAGAGCTGGCCTGGAAGAGGGGCAACCGGGACAGAATCCGGCGCCCCGACCGGGACTAGAACCCGGTGTGCCGGCGCCGCAAGGTGGAGGATTAGCCTATTGAGCCACGGCGCCGGCACAACCAATGTATTTTTAACATTTCAATGTAATTCCTTTTTATAGTCTAATTCTCTAAAGAAATTCTGAATCTTTACACTTTTGTGCACATATGAATCATTAAAGTCACTGCCTTTAACGCCAGTCTCTGGATCACCTGCAGATATGTTAATGTTCTCTGGGGTTTTTCCCTGCAAGTTCAGTCATGTGATTCTGTCTTTTGATGTGTTTGTTAATTTTGAGTACAATTAAAGATGTTGTAGATAAAACGCAGAAAAGGCTGCATACATCTTCTCCCAGAGAAGGATCATCTGTTCCTCTGCTAGTTCTTTAAAGTAAAGAGTGAGCAGCCTGATCTGACCAGGAGCTGACATCAATCAAGGCCATGCTGCAGTGGGGGGGGGGGGGGTGGTGTCTATCTACCTCTAACTCACCTGTTCCAAAGGTGTAGCCCTGCTCCTCTTTACAACTGTTATTCATTTATTTTCATTTATTTGAAAGGCAGAGAGACAGACACAGAGTTCTTCCATCTTCCAACTGCTTGTTTACTCCTCAAATGCCCTCAACAGCCAAGGCTGGGCCAGGTCAAAGCCAGGAGCCTGGAACTCAATTCTGGTCTCCCACGTAGGCGGCAGGGACCGAAGTTCTTGAGCCATCATCCGCTGCCTCACAGGGTGCATTACAGGAAGCCGGATCCGAGGCAGAGTGCAGGATTCAAATTCCAATGTGACATGTAGGTGCCCCCAGCAGCAATTTAACTGCTGCACCAAAAGCTCTCCCCTTTTCTCCTTTGAATTGAGGTTCTTGGAGCACTTAGCAGAATCCTCTCCTGACTGGTCTTTTTTATAAAAACTTTTTCATCAACATACCTGTACACTTTATGGAGTACTGTGCAATATTTCAGCATACATATGCTGCATAAACATAAAATGCATAATCTGAAGACTAAGCATTCCCATTTCCCTACCGCTTCCTTCTGTCTGGAGCCTCCCAGCTCCTCTTCCAGTTCTTCAGACAGCATATAACACATCATTGCGAACTACAAGAACTATTGGAATGGAACTATTGGAATGCAAGAACTTATTCCTTCTATCCCTCCATGTTTAGATACCCATTGTCTAACCTTCTATCTCCCCTCTCCCTATTCCCCAGTGGGTCCTGAACATTAATCACTGTCTCCTCATCCTGGCAAGACTTAATGGAAAAAGCTTTTAAACTGTAAAGCAAATGTAAATTATAAAACTATATAAATGACTATTTCAGTTACAGAAATGATATGCCTTTTTACTCGGCAATTCTAAAGTATGTATTATTCCAGATATCCACAAACTGTGGCCTGTAAGCCAAATCTACCCATTGCTTGTTTTTGTATAGTCATTTTGCAACACAGCCATACTCATTCATTTACTTACAGCTTATGGCTTTTTTTGTGCTATGATTCCAAAGATTTTTCTCTCACTTTCCATTTGGACTCACTAACTCATAAATCTAATTGTCATAGGTCCAGTAAATTAATAATCCATGAGTCTACCTCAATCATTAAATAACTCATACAAAACTGCCAAAAAATATAGAAACCTAAGAGATGGGTATGGCAACAATGCACCTGTACTAGCAGTTACAGAAACATTTCTCCCAAGCTGGTGCCAAACCGAGATTGTAATTGGAAAAAGTTCTCTCCCGACTTCCTGACAAATCATAGTCAGTAAAGGTTACAGTCCAACGGTGGGAGGCCATAAATTAATTCAGAGAAGCCAAAGAACTAGATCAAGTGAGAACTAAGGTTCCCAGTTATCACAGCCAAGGAGGAAGGTTTACTGCAAGTAGTAACTACAGGGAATCAAAAGCAGAAACAGAATAAAAGGTATGGAGCTGGCTAACAAACTTGAGGAGGCAAATTATCTGATTCCATGCTTACCATATTTTAGAATTCATAAAGTTTTCCAGTCCAACATTTCTAATTTTTGAAGTGACTGGGTTTACACCAAATGCTGCCCATCTACTTCTCCCCACACAATCAAAACCTGCATAATCATTCTCACATCTATTTTTAACATATTCCTCTATTTTCACATCTTTCATTCAAAAACTACCAGAGGGAAATAATAAAAAGGTACAACTCACAAATATGTTTCTGTCATACAACTTTAGTACTTACGTACTGTCCTAAATTATATCACATACAGAAACAATTACAGTGTCATGTGACAGCAGTCTATCCCCACAAGACGATGAGCGACTTGAAGACCTGAGTCTAGCACAGTGCCCAGCATACAGCAGATATTCAGGAAAGAAGTGTCGTTAAATAAACAGTGGTGTTGAAGGCAGTGACAATATGCATTAGAGCTGGGAATCAGTGTCTAAGACGTCAGTAGTGCTCAGGTTTTCACCTGGCTTGCTTTTAGTCTAGTAATGGTTTTCTATTTTAAAAAAATTTCAAATTGTCAAATGTCTCCATTGGTGGCCAGAACAGATGAAGAGGAGAAAGCACCAACTTTAAAAAAAAACTGTATTTGCATTTGGAAGTATTCCACAATAAATCTAACAGACAAATCTAATTAAAACTTTCTCTAGCTGAGGTATGTTCTAAAACTGACACAACTTATTAGGTATAAAATATAATTACTAGAATATTCTATAATTCAATATACATTAAAACAGATCTTACCTGTTTCTTTAAATTATCATTCAATTCTTTCAATGCATCAAAGGAGGACCTCAGTCTCTTGCTTTCTTTATTCCTTTCCTTAAGAACTTCAGTTAAGTGTTCAACTTCTGCATCATGTTGCTAAAAGAAAAAAAAATAAAACCACCTGATCTAAAGATTAGGTAAAGATTCCCTTTGACCAATACTAAAGACAATGAATTAATCAGAAATCCTTAAATCATAAAATCTTTAACCAGCATATCTAAGCACAGGATTTATCCATCTAATGTGGCATATAATTTATAAAAATTACAATCAAACATCAAAAGTAAAACATACCATCATACAAATTAAGTAGCAATAAATCTATTTTTTGCTTCTGCTCAGAAAAACCCAACACAGAAACTCACTGAAACATTTTCTATTTGACATTACACAAAATGAAACAATGAAGGACTTTGATCTTTTTAAGAGACAAAAGACAGGGCAGTAGGTTAATTCTCCACCTGTGGCACCAACATCTCATATGGGCACCAGTTCTAGTCCCGGCTGCTCCTATTCCAATTCAGCTCTCTGCTATGGGCTGGGAGATGGCCCAGGTCCAAGATGGCCCAAGTCCTCGGGCCCCTGCAACCACATGGGAGATCCAGAAGAAGCTGTGGCTCCTGGCTTCAGATTGGCACAGCTCCGGCCGTTGCGGCCATCTGGGGAATGAACCAGTAGATGGAAGACCTCTCTGTTTCCTCTCCCTCTCAGTGTCTGTAACTCTACGTCTCAAATAAATAAAATCTTAAAAGAGAGAGAGAGAGAGAAAGACCTGGGGGCCAGCACTGTGGCGCAGCAGGTTAAAGCCCAGGCCTGCAGCACCAGCAACACATATGGGTACCAGTTCAGTCCCAGCTGCTGGTCTTCAAATCCAGCTCTCTGCTATGGCCTGGGAAAGCAGTGGAAGATGGCGGGAAAAAGCTCCTGGCTCCAGGCTCCAGATCAGCTCAGCTCTGGCCGTTGCAGTCATTTGGGGAGTGAAGACCTCTCTCTCTGCCTCTGCCTCTCTGAAAATCTGCCTTTCAAATAAATAAATAAATCTTAAAGAAAAAAAAATAAAGCAGCAGGGACACAAACTGGCATCCATGTGGGCTGCTGGCACCGCAGGCAGTGGCTTAACCCACTATTGCCACAACACCAGCCTCCAAACTACTCCTAAAGTAGTTAAATTTTTAGATTCCAGCTTTACATCTCACTCCAAAATGTTAAATGACATAGTGTGTAATAAAATTTCTATGAACTCCAAAGTATTTGACTCTTTTTTTAAAAGATTTATCCAGGGCTGGCGCTGTGGCATAGCAGATTGAAGCCCTGGCCTGAGGCGCCAGCGTCCCATATAGGCGCTGGTTCTAGTCCCGGCTGTTCCTCTTCTGATCCAGCTCTCTGCTATGACCTGGGATAGCGGTGGAAGATGGCCCAAGTCCTTGGGCCCCTGTGCCTGCGTGGGAGATCTGGAGGAAGCTCCTGGCTCCTGGCTTCAGATCGGCGCAGCTCTGGCCATTGCAGCCATCTGGGGAGTGAACCAGCAGATGGAAGACCTCTCTCTCTGTCTCTATCTCTCTCTGTGACTCTGTCTTTCAAATAAATAAAATAAATCTTTAAAAAAAAAGATTTATCCATCTGCTGGTTTACTCCCCAAATGATCGCAACGGCTGGAGCTGGGCCAATCTGAAGCTAGGAGCCAGGAGCTTCTTCTGGGTCTCCCATGTGGGTGGCACGGTCCCAAGGACTTAGGCTATCTTTTGCATTAGCAGGAAGCTGGATCAGAAAGAACAGCCGGGACTCAAAAAAGTGCCCACATGGGATATTGGTACCACAAGCAGTGGCTTAACTCACTACGCCACAGCACTGGCCCCCTTGACTCTTCTTCTTCTTCTTTTTTTTTTTTTTTTTAAGATTTTATTTATTTATTTGAAAAGCAGACAGAGGGAGAGACAGAGAGAAAGGTCTTCCTTGCGTTGGTTCACTCCACAAATGGCTGCTAGGGCCAGAGCTGTGCCGATACAAAACCAGAAGTCAGGTGCTTCCTCCCGGTCTCCCATGTGGGTGCAGGAACCCAAGCACTTGGGCCATCCTCCACTGCCTTCCTGGGCCACAGCAGAGAGCTGGACTGGAAGAGGAGCAGCCAGGACTAGAACTGGCGCCCACATGGGATGCCGGCGCTGCAGGCAGAAGACTAACCTACTGCGCCACGGTGTGGGCCCTGGCCCCCGTGATTCTTAATCAGTTTTAAAAATGATCCAAATCAACTTCACCTCTAATTACATTTAAATAGGACAGCATGTTTTAGTGTGAGGTAAGCACTTGGCACAGGAGTTAAGCTGTCACTTGGGGACAGTCACATCAGGTATCACAGTGCCTGGATCTGAGTCAGAGTTCTATTTCCAAGGCCAGCTTCCTGCGGCTGTGCACCCTGGGAGGCAGCAGTGATGGCTCAGGTACTTGAGTCCCTGCCACCCCTATGGAGGCCCAGATGGAGTTTCTGTCTCCTAGCTTCCATCTGACCCAGCCAGAGCTGCTGCGGGCTTCTGAGAAGGGAACCAGCCAGTGGAAGCTCTTTGTCTTGTCTGTCTCTGTGCTTTCTTTAAAAAATAAAAAATCCGGCCGGCGCCGCGGCTCACTAGGCTAATCCTCCGCCTAGTGGCGCCGGCACACTGGGTTCTATTCCTGGTCGGGGCGCCGGATTCTGTCCCGGTTGCCCCTCTTCCAGGCCAGCTCTCTGCTGTGGCCAGGGAGTGCAGTGGAGGATGGCCCAGGTACTTGGGCCCTGCACCCCATGGGAGACCAGGAAAAGCACCTGGCACCTGGCTCCTGCCATCGGATCAGCGCGGTGCGCCGGCCGCAGCGCGCCGGCCGCGGCGGCCATTGGAGGGTGAACCAACGGCAAAGGAAGACCTTTCTCTCTGTCTCTCTCTCTCACTGTCCACTCTGCCTGTCAAAAAAAAAAAAAGAGAGAGAAAAAATAAAAAATCCATTTACTCCCCAAAAAAGGTGAATACTAGGGATGACATCTGACTTAGCAATTAAGATGCTGGTTAAAACGTCTGTGTCCCATGCCAGAGTGTCTGGGTTCAATGCCCAGCTCTGGCTCCAAGTCCTGCTTCCTACCAGTGCAGAGCCTGGGAGGCAGCAGGTGATAACGCAAATCGCTGGGCCACTGCCACCCATATGTGAGACCCATTTTGAGTTCCTGGCTCTCCATTTCTGCCTGGCCCGGACTCAGCTATTACTGGCATTCAAGGAGTTATTTATTTGAAAAAGAGATATAGACAGATAGACAGATTTTAAAAACATACAGATCAATACAGGGGTAGGCATTTAACCTAGCAGTTAAGATGTCAGTTAAGACACATGCGCCTTTTCTTTCCCTTTCTGGGGCTCAAGACGTGTAAAAGAGAATGTGGTGGGTCCTCTGGTGTGAAATTTCAGATTTCCCTGGGTCGTCAGGTCAGTGTGGTGTTCAACTGTGCTGACAACACAGGAGTCAAAAGTCTCCATACCGGCCGGCGTCACGGCTCACTAGGCTAATCCTCCGACTGCGGCACCGACAGCCCAGGCTCTAGTCCCAATTGGGGGGGCCGGTTCTGTCCCCAGTTGCTCCTCTTCCAGTCCAGCTCTCTGCTGTGGCATGGGAAGGCACTGGAGGATGGCCCAAGTGCTTGGGCCCCTGAAGCTGCATGGGAGACCAGGAGGAAGCACCTGGCTTCTGGCTTCAGATCGGGCGCAGCACGCTGGCTATAGCAGCCATTTTGGGGGGTGAACCAATGGAAGGAAGATCTTTCTCTGTCTCTCTCTCTCACTGTCTAACTCTGCCTGTCAAAAAAACAAACAAACAAACAAACAAAAAAAAAAAAAACAAAAAACAAAAAACAACAAAAAAAAAGTCTTCATACCACCTCTGTGAAGGGGATCGGGGACAGCTGGCGTGGGTGACACTGTGATGGCCACAGTCGAGAACACAAGCCAGAGCTAAGAAGGTAAGTCAGCCATGGTAATCCAATAATGAAAGTCATACTAGAGAAAAGATGGTGTGTTCATTTTCAAGATGATACAAGGGTCACAGTGAACAATAAAGGCAAGATGAACAGTCAGACCATCACTGGACCAGCTGGAAAGGAGTGTGCAGATTCTCCAGGGTATTTGTTAAAAATAATAATAATAATCCATTAAAAAGTATTTGATGGAACTGGCACTGAGGCATAGCAGGTTAAACCACTGCCTGCGATGGCAGCATCCCATATGGGTGCATGTTCGAGTCCCAGCTGCACCACTTTCAATCCAGCTCCCTGTTAATATGCCTGAACAAACAGCAGAAGATGGCCCAAGTGCTAGCACTCCCACGTGGGGAGACCTGGATGAAGCTCCTGGCTTTGGTTTGGCCTGGCCCTGGCTGATGAGTGAACCAGCAGATAGAAGATCTTTCTCTCCCACCTTCTCTGTCTCTCTTAAAGATTCTGCCTTTCAAATAAAAAAAAAAAAAAATCTTTAAAAAAAAAAGTTGAAGAAAGTACTTGCTATCCCCAAAATGGACCCTGGGAAGCTGCAGTGACGGCTCACATAGGTGGGTCCTGCCACCACATGGGGCACCTGCTGGCATGCCCAGCCCCTCCCCACCTGCTATAGGCATCTAAGGAGTAAACCAGTGGGTGGGAGCTCGCCTTTCTCTCCCTCTCTCTTTTCTCTGCCTCTTAAATTAAAAAAGTAAATAAAGTGTGAATATTTAATTTCACCTTCTATTCTCAATATGTTCATAAAATATCAAAACAAGCAAATTTCTAGAGGAAACCAAAAAACTAAATAAATTTTACTCTTCAAGTAATCATCCAAATATGACTAAATAAAGCAGTTATCTTTATACTTAATAAAAACAGTAGTCAGATCTAGAGAGAGAATCAAAAATAAGAGCAGGCTACAGAGATCTGAGAATCTAAGCATGCATTCTTTAGTACTGTAAAAAAAATCCAATAATCTAAAAATATTAGCTTTATGTAGCCTATCACTATATTAAATGATACCCAGGGTGGGTGTACAGCCTAGCAGTTAAGACACCTGCATCCTATGCAAGAATTTTGGAAGGGCCAGTACTGTGGCATAGC